TTCAGCTTTGGAGCTGCTGTGAGCTCTGGGGTCTACCCAGCCCCAGCAGTGGGGTAAGGGGTGAGGTTGGGTGCCCTCCAGTTTAGGAGCATGTTAGGGTTACCTCTCCCTTAGCAGAGACACTGCTGCTTTCGACTCCAGATCATTGAGGACTACCTGCTGCTGGAAGATGCACCTCTGCTGGAGGAGATGGCTGAGGAGGATGAAGACCTTGACCTGTACAATGAAATGACTTTTGGGATAGGTAAGATTTCAGGGGAGCCTTAGTGGCAGGGAGACCAGCCAGCACCCAATGGGGTGAGGAAGGCTTCTGCCTGGTGAGGAGGTGGGTTGGGAGCTGGGACCCTACTGGGCACCAGGGTTCTCACCCACTCTGATGTACTCTGCTTCCCCCTTCCAAGAACAAGACTCTACTGAACAGGACACCTCAAAACTCCCAATGCCTCCAGAGATGAGCCCTGAGCTGGCCAAAGCAGTGGCAGAGGAGACCGAGGCAGGGGAGGAACTGGGGCCCGAAGCAGCTGAGGAGCTGAAAGAGCCCCAGGAGGAAGGTGGGATGGAGCTGGAGATGGAGCAGCTCAGCTCTGAGTTGGAGGAGGAGGATGGTCTGGGGGCTGAGGACCAGGAGGAAGACCAGGAGCCCTGTGAGGAGCCCAATGACCTGGGAGACCCAGCAGTGATGAGAGCTGTGCACAGCAAACCCACACTGGAGGTGATGCATGAATGGAGAGGGAGGGGACCCACTGCTCCCCTTTCATCCCCACATCTGGGGGTCCTGCCCCACAGAGGGCACTGGGGGTAGCTTGGTTCCTGTCCAAGGGAAGAGACCCACCAGTGCTAAACACATGCCGCCTTTGCTTACAGAGCCAGGACTCAGCGGTGCTGGACAGCAGGATTGGTGCTTGCTGGACAGACTTTGGCAAAGAGAATGTGGTAAAAATGTCCCCTTCCATCCGGTGACAAGGCTGCAGTGTCCCCTGCTCCTTCCCTGTGCTGATCATCTCCCTGTCTTCCAGCTGGCCATGGATCCCACCATGTGGGGCTCCCGTCCCAGCAGCATCCCCCCTTCCCACATGCTGGAGGTGGGTACATTGGGGGAGCAGCTGAGGAGTCCCGGGCACCCTGAGCTGAGGGTCATGCACGCAATTTGGGGTGATGAGGGGACCTCTAAAGTCTTGTTGTGGGACTGGAGGTGCACAGATATGTCTCTTGGGTGCTAAGGCTGTGGGCAGAGGTGCCGACCCAAAGCAGACCCTGGGTTTGAAGACTAAGCTGTTGAGTTTGGGTGTCCCTGTGGGTCCCCTAGTGTTGCAAGCTGCCAGGTTTGGAGCCTGGCTGGTGCATGGTCTGGTTCTGGTGAGCTGCCTGATGCTGGGAATGCTAAAATGATCCCAGCTGGGCCCCGTTCCCACCTCCTGCTGCCTCCTCCCTGCAGGATAAAGCCATTGTCCAGGTCCTGGAGAGGCCCCCACCATCCACGAATGTGGCTCTCGACTTCCTCGGTTCCCATGTACAGAGGGGCTACGGGGGTTCTCCCCGGCTCAAGCGCCCCAACATAAGGCTGGTGTCCCCCAAGTCCTTCCCACAGCGCTTTCTCCGGCAGGTAACAGGTTTGGGGGAGTCTTGCACCCCCTTTTCTCTGCCGTCTCCTCCCCAGAGGCGCAGCCTTAGGACAGACCTGTCCCAGTGATACCTCCTGTCTCCCTGTCTTCTGCCCTGCAGCAATCGCCTCTGGTACCTCGCTCCCCGTGTTCCCCTCGGCCCTTTGTGCCACCTCGCAGACCCCCTCTGCTCTTCACTTCCAACCAGGTGATGCTGTGAGCTCTGAGCTGCTGTGTGTCCCCTCTCAGGTGGCCCTGGAGCAGCAAGGGGTTGGGACAGGGTCTCCCCAAAGCTCTGCCATCCGCAGCAGGCTTTGCAGCTCCCGGGCACCCATCTCTTGTGTCTTAATAGTGGGGAAGGTGGAGCTGCTGGTGTAGCTGTTGCTTCATAAATCTATTTGTCCTGATGTCCCCATGGGACCCGCACTGGGCATGGTGGTGCATTTGGTGTCATGCTGCAGCACTGGTGATGGATCTGGGACATGCAATCCCTAGTGACACATGGGTCCCCTCACCTTGCTCTCTGTAGTGGCAACATCCTGGTAGGTATCACCTTGCCGTGGTGCCCCATGCATCTGCTCTGTGCAGGGACAGGGTGGCTCCTGAAAGGTGGGGAGCCAGAAGCCAGCATGGTCCCCCCCAAATCCCTCCAGGGTCCTCAGAGGAGAGGGCTCAGCCATCTGATCGTTCTCTCTCCCTTTTCAGACCACAGGGTATGCATCTCCAACCCCTTTCCAGCCCATGTCACCTAACATCAGCCGCCCACCACGGCCTCTCGCCATGCACTTTGGTCCCATGTCTCCCTCTTTAGACCCTGCTCTTTTCTTCAGTCCATCAGCCAGTGGCCAGCTGAACCTCAGGTAGTGGGATAGTGTGTGGTGTGCTTGGGTGGGACTGCAGGAGCCCCACACCACAGCTGGGGGTGTCCCCCCTCTCTGGGGACCTGATCCCCTGACCCCCATCTGGTCTCCCCTGCAGCATGCCCAGCCATCTGACCCAGCTGCACCCGCAGCACCAGCGCATCCTGACCCAGCGGCAGCAGCAGAGGTGAGGGGGTCCCCGGTGACTTGTGGGGTGGTGTGGAGGGACTCCGGGTAGTCACAGCAGGCTGTGGTCTTCCCTGTGCCAGCATCTCCTCCAAGAAGCTGTGGTCTCCTAAAGTGGACCCTTGTGCTGGGCTGATGACCTCCAAGGAGAAGGACTGGGTCATCAAGGTGGAGATGATCCAGCTGCAGAGCGAGAACATGGATGATGACTACTACTACCAGGTGAGCGCCTGATGGCAGCACCAGTGGCTTATTCTCCTCAGGGCTGGGGTGTTGTCTGTTTGGGGGTGCCAGGGCTCATGGAGCCCCCCCTCCAGGCTATGCCTGTCATTACAGACATACTACCACCGGCTGGAGCGCAGACAGGCGGAGGAGGAGCTGCTTGGGGGGCGCAACAAGCAAGAGCCCCCAAAGCTGGTCACACCGTTCATCCAGAAGGTGGAGATGTACAACTCTGGTGAGGGGGTGGGGAGGAGCGGTGGGGGCCGGGTGAGGGGTTGTAGGATGTGGTCTCGCCATGTCCTCTTTCTTCTAGTGGTGCGCATCGCAGGCTCGCTGGGCCAGGTTGCAGTGTCCACCTGCTACAGCCCACGCCGGGCCATCGACGCAGTGCACCATGCCCTGGTGGAGGAGGTAGGTGAGGGGAGGCTGGGGAACGCCACTCTGAGCTTTTGTCAGGCC